TCTTCTCAACTCCCGCTGCTGCCTTGTCAGCCAAGGTTTTGTGACCTCTGGGGTGTCTACAGTAGTGTCCACCACATTGTCCCCAGGAGTCAGTGGAGTCCATCCCGAAGAACAAATTCCTTTGCTGCTCTGTGGAAAGCAACTCTTCATCGGCTGAAGTCCATCCTGAGATCAAAGCAATTCAGTCGCATCTCCAGCTCCTCTTCTGGTTCTAGTTCCCTTGCTGTTTCCATCACATAGGTGGCTGTTTGCTCCCCTGAAGTCTTGGACTCCCAAAGTCATCCGTGATGGTTGCAATCAACCCTTCCAAACTCTTGTCAGTGTTGACACTTTGATCTCCTCCTGAGAGTCACAGGTGTTCTCCGTGGCCTCTGGAGCGGTGAATCCTTTCCAGAGAGTTCTCACTCACATTGCCCGTGACTACCAGGGGAATCCCACTGAGAGCAGCCAACGCCTCACCAGTTGTGCATCTTTAGTAATAAACCCAGGTGTGGAAGTGACTCCTTGGTCTGAGGGCTACAGAATAGGTGCTGTGATAGCAGCTTGGGATCTGCATCACATTGTGCATCTCTTCTGGAGCCCTTGGGTGGCCAGAGACACTGTGGGTGAGTGGCTGTGTTGGAAAGGAATCATTTCTGGCTTGGGGAAGAGTCAGAAGTCACTCAGTGTCAAATCTGATGAATAAGTGGATGAGGACACCTCATAATATTTTTGCTGGACAGAAATCACTGTAAATATTTCAGTGGATCCAGGACATCAAAGCAGCCACAAAAAGACACAAAAGAGACTTCCATATTTGCTTCAGAAAGCAGCCACACTGATGAGATAAGTGTGTTTGAAGCAAAGAAGAGTCTTTGGGGGAGGAGTCACGGCAGTGTGACTTTTACTATAGTAATTTTTACAAACTTTTATTTGAACATTCACTGTGTTTTTTATCATACCTCATATTTATTGCATACCTTTGTATCTCATACCCCATCTTGTCAGTATAAAAGCAGCGGAAAGACAAAGTGCGGGAGTCCTCCCTCAGAGCAGCTGCCTGGAGTACTGATCCTCGTCCCCTTCTGGGTACAGTGTGTTCCAGAGGCCTAGGCATCTCCAGAATTGGGTGCTTACTCCCAGATGCTCTGTAGCCTTCATTCTCTGTCTGTGTCCCCAAGCCCCACAGACTGCATGGGGGCACGGCAGCTTGTCTCCATCATATCCCACTCTTCCTCACTGCCCACTATGCCTGCCCTTCCCACGCCACTTCCTGGTCCCTTCTGGACCTCATCGTGCCAGCTGCGCTCCAGCTGGGTGAGTTGTCACCCCCAAGCACCTGGCCTCAGCGAGGAGGCTTGCTTAGCAGAAACAGAATGGCACACATTCTGGGTGATCCCATTGTCACCCGTCTGACTTTGGAGCTTGCCCTTGAGGCTCTCTTTTTTTTTGAATGGTGTCTCAGCTGTCAGCGGTTTCTGTGTGTTTACCTTCCTTTTCCAAGCAGAGGCAGAAATGAAAGCCGCAGTTCACTACAGCTCCATCTGGGAACTCACCAGAGTATGCTGGGCAAGCTGCAGGCCATTGACAGTTGTGTCCCTTTGGCCAGCTCTCCTGGTCCCCACTGGAACTGGGGAGGTCCTCAGGAAGGCACCCTACCCCCAGGCATTCACCCAGGCAGCATGCTAGCTCTCTTCAGCTCTTTGAGGGGAAGGATGGCATTGTGTTCATTTTGTTCCCTGATGCATGGCACAGTTTCTAAAATACAGCAGCTCTTCAAGGTATGTTTCTGGAATTCTCAGAAGGAGGTGTGGGGGTGAATTGAAAATGATCTCCGTGCCGGGGGTTTAGCTCAGTGGTTCTGCCGCCTGCCTCGCAAGTGCAAGGTCCCAAGTTTGATCCC